TCCGGGTGGTCGATGCAACGATTCGCCCCGTTTGAAAGGAAAACGAAACATTCCTTCCAGTCAAGTGCAGCAAACCGGTCAGCTATGAATAAATACCGAGATTATTTAAATAAGTATTGCATTTTAAGACAGCGATACTAGATTGTATATGAAATTGTTTAAAGCGCAGGTTATAAATACGCATTTTAGAATAAAAGTACTAAAGACATAACCTAATAATAAACATTAAAACGCTTATTGAAGTATCCGTGGAAATAATAAATTTTATAACTTTACAATATCGCTACAGAAATTCCAATGAAAAGCAAAACGTGTATATTCCAAAAAAATATTGTTGTGTAACGAACTATTTTTTATCGAAAACGAATAGTTGAGTAATTCATTTTAAAGCGTTAGCACGTCGGAAAGGTTAACTAAAAAAAAATTAATGCTTCAATAGAAGCTAAACTAAAAAAAGAAAATGACTACAAAAATGCTCTTTAGACCTCCTCCTATTTGCTTCCATGAAAGATGTAGAACATTATGTCTCATATCTAGAGTTAGAACCATCAATCACCCTAAACACTATTAAATTGCCCTAACTGCCATAAAATGTCTAAAACAAAAGACGAGCAAAATAAAGCACTTTTGATCATTTATTAAATGCACGAAAAAAGGTCGTCAAATGGTACTGTCTCAGACCCTATTTTTCATTTGACATCAAAACAGCTTACTCTATATTGTATAAATTAATGTAATCTGAAAGTACAAACTTTAATAATAGTTAAATCTTTTCTTTATTATTCTGAAACCGGACGATTTTCATTACTTTCTTCTGTGTTTAAAAACTCTTTAGAGAGATTTTTGAAGTGTGCAGTACACAGGAAGTTTGCAATTGGACTTTTTTTCACAAAAGCTTTTCCGAGAGAGATTTATATTAGATTGGAAATTCACCGTCAAAAAGCTGCTGTTTCTATATTAATAGAATAAAGAAGTTGCAAACTAATTTACGGTTCTAATTGTTAGAAATACCACGACTGTATTTGAAATTAATTGTTTGTGCATTTCACAATTAATATTTTCAAAAATAACTAATACACCTATTTTCATACCGCATCCACTTAATTAATATTCTATATTTATATAATATTCTATATATTGTATATTATTATTTTATTTTCCGAAGGACCTTACTTACTATTATAACTTAAAAAGCCTTTACTGTTAGTCTTTATCTACCACAAGATTTGAAATTCTCAGGTGAACTGCAACTTTGACTAGTCAGTGCATTTATAACATGCTTGCCTCGACTATTTTAGTAAATTTCTAGCATATAGTTAACATTGAAAAAATACTTGTAATAAAATCTGCGTTGAATCGAACAGGATCTCGATGGGAAAGTGTACGGATTGGAGTGACATTCCCAAACAAAACCGTAGCATAGTGAGTTGCTGTCGTAAATATACCGGTCAGTACACCGAAGGCCCCGGCTCAGTGGCCGGAACCGGCGCCTCCACAGGATATTGCACAGTAAACTGCCGCCGTGTAACGGTTTCAATGTTTACCGGACCATACTGCACGCTTTTACGGAATTAATGCCTCTTTTTCGTTTTTAATTCACTGTTGCAGATTGTCCGCAGTTACTCCATCGTTTGATTGAACACTTATTGAGAAAGCTTTAGATTGTGCTAACTAAATTGAAAAATAAGTATCACTGCAATCTAAATTGGTAGACTAATTCATACTTGCACTTTAGTTTGGTACGCAACTGTGGAACATTATGAAACTAAGAGAGACCATGGAATTCAAATTATATTTTTTTTTAAATTACTATCGTGGCTTCCATATCAAGAAAGGACCGACAACAGAAGGACCAATACCTTAATATCGAGAGTGATTTCTATTTATTGTGTTCTCATACAAAAATGTATATCATTTTTTACCTGTAGCGCTTAGTGCTACGTTTATTCGAGATGCAAAGTCAGTAACACATTTCGTTAATTGCCCTTAATTAGGCCAATTTGAAAACAAAACAAGATTAACAATACCACTTCATCTTCTACCTCGTTAACTGCAAATGGTCAGCGTATTAATCACAAGTTATTTTGTTCTTTAAAATATTTTCACTAAATATAAACATAGAAATATTCACATGTCAACAGCCGTATACAGTTTGGCAATTTTGTTTCGCTTTTTTATAATATCATAATCAATAAGTGTGACTGTTTGAAAGTTGTACAGGTGATGAATTATACGAAGGTGGTGAATATCATTTTTTTTAATCATCTTTTATTTATTACAATAAAAAATAACCTTTAAAATTACTTGTTTCAAAAATAAAAACTTCTACAATTCTAACAAATATTCGTGTAGACAAATATTGCGATTTGTTCACAGTTTGTTTGAGCTTTTGTCACGGTAAATAATTCAGAGTAGCTTTTCCAAAATAAACATGAAATCTGTGCCTATTTCCCGCACGGGTTGTGGAGATGTGGCCGTTGCAGGCTGTCCGCCCCGTGACGTCACCGAGAGTTATCTATAGCCGCTGTCCACAATTGCTCACGTAATAATAACTTTAGTTGTAACTGTCCATTTGTCCATTTTAAATGTTGTCATTTATTTACTTTTGATTTAAAGTTTGCACCGTATGTCAACTATGTTGAAAAAAAAAAGAAATTTGTTTTATGATCTTCCGTTGCGTATTTTATACAGCTACCTTTTTAAATATCTAAAATATACAAAAATCACACACACGGTATCATATTCAAAGAATATGGAATTAATAGACAAGATTATGTTCTTACCGATACACATAATAAATTATGTCACTTATTAATAATAACTTGCCCTTAAATTTGAAAACGAACATAAGACTACTTCAAAGTAAGTATTAGACAAATTATTCTAGAAGATCTGTATTTAAGCTCCAATGTTACCAATGTCATAACTGCTACTAGTAAATTCTGTTTTGGATTTATGCACTAATTTTACCAACCGTGCGACACGGTTTTGTCAGATTCGCTCCCGGATTTGGAACAGTGGGCGACGACGACGGCTGTGCGGATGCGGTTGAAACCACTACGGGTAAATATAGGTTTGTGCTTTGCACTGGGTCTAATATTAAAACAATGTAATTTGTTTCTTTTTTTGACGAATTATCGTCTAAAATATTAAGATTAAAAATCAATGCTTTGTCTGATTGACTATCACCAAAAGTATCTAATAAAATATGTATTAAGTTACATGGAAAATTACATATTTATAATAACGCAAGCATTGATAAAACTGTCTCATCCACTTGCCTTGAATTTATCTTTCAACTCAAATCATTATAAGACCTTACATCGTTATAAAAATATATAAAGTTGTTAATTTCTACTATTTCCATTAAAAAAAAACTCATGAAATACCTGCGGTTGGGCTATTGCAAGAATTTGTGCGCATTCTATATTGAAAAGCTGCTTTACAGAAAATTTTTAGCCTCATTTCAATGGCGTGCAGCTCAAATTAGCTTCCAAGTTTTCTAAAGCAAAAAATTCAAAGCAGTAAAATCACTTTTGATGCTCACATGTTAAAAAAATTTAGTACTGACCTAGTTTAATTGTGTCCAAAAGAAGTAATTTTTACATGTGAATATATTTTTAATATAATGTTTAAGTTATTTCTACATTATCATTTATTACACCACGAAGTAACAATCTTAACTGCAGTAAGTCGTCTAAAAATGATGATGTATACCAAAACCTAAAAATTTAATAATTCCATAATTATTAAATTTTTCCATAACCTAAAACGTTATTTAGTCTATGCATAAGTCAATACCACTTTTGTTTATTTAAAATAACAACATTAATCATTAGTATTACGATCCAACAGATTATTTAAATATTTGATTCTCAAATTTAAACTAGAAGTATTTAATTCAACATGTTAATAATCTAACAGTATTTTGTCATAATAAATTAAAAGTATTATTAAAATTGCACGTCGGAATAACGGCCATGTTTATTTTTGACATTCGAGCAATCGTGAGGACAATGGAAGAGCGGTGTTGTTAAGAGTTCTTGTTTACAGTTCCAAAAGAAATATATGAGTTAAGGAAGGCTATTTTTTATTAAAAACATATTGTCCGAGTACAAATCCCACATTTATTAAGTAAATTTAATCCAATAAAAACCGGACTTATTCTTATATACTAATTAATTTCAATAAAATTCTTATAAAGTTTAACATTTGGTTGGTTGGTTGTCAGGTGCAGGTTTACATATAAAAAAACCTCTTAAGATCTATTTTATACAAAAAATATTTCAATATGGCATTAATTTCTTTATCATAACCTAGCAACGAGCCACAGGTCGCCTAAGCCATTCTGCTGTCAGGCTTACACTGCTCAACTATCGACTCGATTGTCTTTTGTTTTTTTTTCACAATTTCTTTTAATTATAAGGCGTCGCGTGCAAGTGGCCAGTGCTACCTCTTTGGCAGCATATAATTCGAACTCTTCAGAGTCACGACAGAGGTTGGTATGTATTTACATGATATTTTTATTTTGTTTATATATGTAAGATAATTAACTGATGGGATAAAATGTTTTTTTTTATACTCAAGTAAACTAAATATCTAATAGACAAGTAAGTTCTACAATTATTTATTGATTAAATGAAACTGAAATTCTCAATGAAGATTGGTAAACTTTGACACTTAAGGAAATTTAATTTCTCCCATAGCTGCAATAGGAATGTTTTTCTTCCAAAATATACCCAAGGGCCGTACTACGGAGGCTTATAAAAGATAATGTAATGTCTTAAAATAAAATTATTCCGTAACAAAAAAAAATGTAAATTTAGTGCATTTAATTATAAAGTTAAAGCTATATTTTTAATATAGCTTTTATTAAAATAAAATAATTGTCTAATGTTACTGGCCAGCAAGAATATTTATTTTTCGTTTTAACATTTTAAAAAGATTTTACCTGTCATTACAGTTTTCAGAAGCGTCATACTATTTAATAATGTGAAGAATTATGTAAAGGTTATGATTTCTTATTGTGTTATATAGAAGTGGATATTTTTAAAGTTAAATTAAAATGGTGAAAGGTGATATGAACAATTATTGTTGTGTAGTAGTAAATGTATGTATGTACATGTGTCGTAGTGTTTTCGTGATGTTTATTTTAATCTTACAAGTAAGTATAAACTACCGGAAAATAAAACAAATCAGATACTCGTATTAAAGATAACGGTCTACTGCGGTATTTGCTAGCTAATATAACAAATTCCTTTAAGATTCTTGGGGTTGCAAGATTTCTCGAATTATTTGGGGGCAATTTTAATAACAGTTATATATTGTAGTGTACATAACGTTATGTTTCGAGAAAATGTTGAACAGAATATGTTGAAGTATAATGAAAAGTGTTTAGTTTATGTATTAGTGTGTTTATTTACCTGTAATTGAATTAGTGGCCTTTATCATTATTGATCTAGTTGACACAGTGGGAAATGACTGTTGATATTTGGAGCAAAACACCTTTACGAAAATGATAAGAGGTAAGTGTACTTTTTATATTAGTAATTAATAATAAAGAATAGCTTCCTTTTAAGATTAAAACAAAATTTTATTTCAATGAAATAAAAAGTAAATAGTTTATATAAACTATCAAAGAGAGATAAAATCCTTGTCGGAATTAATCAAAGCCTTAAGAAGTTAATTCGTTTTTTAGCATTGCAACTATATTTACAAGGAAAAAGAAAGTTTATACTTTCCATTATCTTAATCAAAATGAAAGCTAAATCATAAAAAGCCGGCTTAATTCTTAGAGTTTATTCATTCTTTAGAATTTAATTTTTATATAAAGAAATCGACAATATTATGAAATAAATAATGCACTTGAAACACACTAGTCACCGATCGATCGTGAATGTCGCCTGTTTGTAATTTGCCTAGGTAAATGGTAAATTAAGAAAAGTCCGTATAGATTGGAGTTATTTACAAAGCGATATAGTATATTTTGAGTGAAATAGGGAAAAGTAATTATTATAGTTACCAATGTTTTAGGTGACAAGGCAATTCGCTCTCTTAGAGCAAATACAATTATCTTGATTTAAATGAAAATGTAGTATCATTGAAGCACCTCTTATTTAGTGTCTCTTCATTAAGCCGAAGTGCTTACTTAAATTAAGACAAGGAATGAGATGAGACTGACTTAACTCGTAGCAAAATATTTATAGTGAATACTTAATTATTTTATATAAAGGCAATTAAACATTAAAAATATATTACAAATCTCGTGAAATTCAAGGAAAATCGGAATTTTAGTAAAAAGTTATTCCTGGATTCCATGAATATTTTTAAGATAAAACTACTTTATGGTTTAATCATAAAATGTGACCAAAATGAATTGTTTCTCGATGTATCAACACGCTAAACCGATTTGTTCCACTTTACCTCTGTGGGGTTCTGGCATATCTATTAAAAATTATAATATCGAAAATAATATGTTTTGTTTAAAAGACAAGGATGACCAAGCAATATAAATATTACAGGACAAAAATAAAACACACTTATCTTAGTTTTGCTATTAGAAAATGTTATTTTTTTTTGGTTTTACGTAAACTAAATTTTAACATTTAGATAGAAAATTCTTTCGATAACGCTACAGAATATATTACATCGAAGACAATATATTTTTTTAATATAATTGGCTTGAGTGGTTATTTTTGGTTAAGACTGGGATCCTTAAATACCTAAAACATTGGTCACCATACGTCTGCGGCTACTCTTTGCACCTGTAAATATTTCAAAGGGCCGCTGACGTGAAAAACTAAACTAAAAAGGACAGGTGCGAAATCCTTGCACAGCGGGGGTCTACTCGACAGACCTGTCGACTCGACCCATAACCTTAATTGATAGGAATCGTTAAGCTTTAAACGCGCGCCTTCGTCGTTTCCTCAACATAAATACTATCCGATTCTAATCTCATTTTTTTTCCTGAGCCGTTACTTTATACGTCGTTCGGTCAGCGATCGTTTTATTTTCGGGTGCCTCCTTTCGATTCGATGGATAGTTATTTCGTAATAAACAGTTCATTCTTTGTCATTTGATATTTTTTTAGATTGTAACTGATAAGTTCTTATAATGTTGGCGCCGTCGGATCGGTTATAGGTAATTATGTTTTATGTCAAATTAGTAAACCGACTTGGACAAGATTAGAGACGTTAACGAACGAGGAAATTATTGCTCGTTACGGAATAATCATAGTTAGTTCTCTCTTATTGTATTCTTTACCAGCGTATATTTTTTCTCTCTTTTATCGTTGCTGCTTTTATATTAATTTTAACATCCATTACCGACTTTGATAGAACAATCATCTAACGCCAACTATTTAGCTGTTGTTTAATTAATGCTGTGAAGATCGTTTATTATAAAATTTTAAAGAGGATATGTTTATTTTTAAAGTTATAATATCATTAAAATTTATGTTGAATGTATTGTTTACAAGTATCGGAAATTAGGAAGGCGCTGTAAGTGTTAGTGAAACTAATTGAACTAATTTCAAATTATATAATCGAATAGTTCACAGAAATTCTAATGATCATACCAATGTTAGGACAGTACATTACCCCTAACAGGAACTATGCGGAATTTGTATTGGTAAATTAAGCTGACAGTAAGTACATTTATACAAAAAGATGGCAAACAAGCAAGCGGTCACTTGCCTTTGAGTGCCTTACTGAGTTCAAAGATATCGATAAATCTAATTATAAAAACTGACATAATTTAAAAGGGACACAAAAATGTTTAAAAGGTAATTAATTACACGAACATTGACGTAAATTCGATAAGGGAATAGGTACCGACTGACGTTTGTCACCGGCACCCGAAATTATCTCTACATCTGTAGGATACTTTATTTGCCCGATAAGTTTTAAAAGAATCAAATGTTTCTTTGTATTCTTTTGTTATTCTTGTTAATTATAGGAATGTTTTACATTTTAGTAATACTAAGTTTTTGTTATGGTTTGGTAGAATTGGCTAGTCTGATCTTATAGTACTTTTAATGGAAAAAGCGAAACTGTAGTATTATATAAAGTATGAACAAGTAAGTTCAGATATATTTGTTTATGAAATGCCTTATTCATGTTACAAAATATGTTTATACTTTTATTTACAATCCTACAAAAGAGATTAAAAATATAAATTCATTTTATTGAGGTGTAATCTTTTTGTCGATTAATGGTTTTTTGAACAAGACCAAAACACATTTGCTTTTGAATGAAACAGGTGCATAGTTGAGATCGGACCCGAAGCTCGTAAATTAGTTTAAACGAGGGTTATATCTCTAATTCATAATAGGTTTGATCGTGGTTAATAGTATTAAATTTTCCTTTAAGAGGGCTACAAAGATTTTTACTTGTTATACTTAATATTTAGAAGTCACACCATAGACTTACAGCCTTATTCAGAGTGGTCTTACGATTACTGAAGCATTGCTTGGTTCAGTTCTCATACTAAATCTTAACTAAGGCGCTCCCTAAGTTACTTACTAAAGTGCAGTTGTTTGCATTTGATATATGGTAATATATATATAGTGGTATTTCTTGATATAATATGAAATATTTTTATTTCTATACTACAAGTATTGTTATACGCAATTTTTATACATATAGTCGAGCTTGTTGAACTTTACTATGATGAAATGAGAACAAACTTAGTAGAGTAGTAAGTTATTAAACTTTAATACGACGCATTAAAATTTCGCATAGACAAATAGTCTACTGTCATGTAATTTTCATACACTTTAATAACTGTGTTTGACTCTTTAGAGCGAGGGTATGCTTAATTTCCGGCAACTGTCGCTTAAGTATGTTGTATAAACATAAAAGCCTTAAGAAGAAAATAGTTCTTCGCAGTATTAATTAACATGTATTTTCGAATAGTTTCATTTGTTTAAGTTTTATTTGATCCATATTTAATTAGAATATACTAATATGAAATCAGAATTTCAGGCATAATTTGCAAGAAATTAACTTATAGCAAAACGATGAATAATCTAGGACGTTTTTCACTATAAATGGAGGGACATTGGAATTCTTTATATTATTCTTTTGTCGATGTCTCTATTGGAGAAATGTTGCAGAGTGACTTGGCGTATATTGAGGACCGCCCTGGTACACTATTATCTCCTAAGTCACTTCGCATCAGAATCGATGAAGTGCTACAGATAAGCATTTCCAACCGGGAACTTTAAACGCGCACGCCTTTAATAGTTGAGGTGCGATCTATTTATGTATGTTTTGTTAAGTTTTATTTTGAAACGTTTTAATTTAAAATGGATACATTTTTTGTTTAGTATCGGTGTTAAGAGCGGTAAATGTATTGTGCAACTAATTGTTGAAACATTTACTATTCAATTGTTTCTCGTTATTTTTTTATTATATATCTACATATTCTAACTTTAATAATTTAAGTTTGAAGTACTATTTCTGAAGTTTTTGCGAGAGTTTTTCCGAGTTGAACATACTTATCATGATCACCCAGTCCGCACCTGGAGTAACATTGTGTAGGATTGTTTTAAAACGTAAAAATTTAAAATCATATAAACAGCTAGATTATGCAAAACACTAGATTCCAGTCTAGACATTTCCAGACTTGATTTTGTTTTACATTAAATATTCCCACAATACTATTAAAACAAGTGTAAGCGAAGTAACAGCTGTTGCATTTTAAAATTCAGAAATAGCATTAGATTTATTTAAATTGCTCGAAGCTGAATTTTGTATAATTACGTTTGGATAGAGTAAATAGAAAATAAATGTGCAGATCAAATTACACAGATATCTCAAGCAAATATTAACAGACAGTTGAAATTTAAATTAAATTTTTACTATAAAATGCAGAGATATTCAATTTCTAATTAAACACATTATTTGTGTATAATTTCTATTATTAGTGTACTTTTGTATCTTAAGTCTTTGGAAAAGACATATCTTTTTTGTGTGGTAAGAGACCGACAAGTAAGTAGTATTAGCAGGATATTTATTTAAATCATGCATGCGTGTTTTTTACACTAACGTAATAGATTTTGGACTGACGTTGATGGTCAGATAAGATGGTTGGAGCGCGATTCATTAGGCGTAATGATATGGTTCGTTAATCTAGGACAATCGGTCATTCTGGTAGTGAATTCTTTGCTTTGTTTGGTCACAAATTGTATTTTAACACAGCCTAGTTCGTTGAAATTGATAATATAATCATGAGAATGGAGTTTGAACGGGTCATGATACGGGTAATGATGTCTTTGTGAGATTAACGTTTCCGCTGCATTTCTTTATAGATATAAACAATTTGAATGGACCTAGACATTATTAATATTGATATTATTTGAAATATATGCATTTTATAAGATTAACTTTGTTGATAGTCAACAAAACCTACTTGATCCTTTATTTGTAGTCAAGTGTCAACATTTTTATTTAAATTTCTAGACGGACATGTCATTTTAGTGCTGAAGACTGTAGAAATCAAAGGGTTACTATTTTAATTTATT